GGTTGTGATTTCTGTCCGTTTGCGCACAGAATCTATCCCTGCCTCAGCTCGCAGGTTAACCGCTGAGACATGGTCCTGGAGTTTGTGACCTGTAATAAGCCTTGCAGCTCGGTTGACCAGTCTGTCCAGCTGTGACATAAGAGTCTTGTTGCCTTGTACAAGACTTGGTAGCCATGCTGTGGCACAATACTCCAGATGAGACAGTAGTAGTGTCTGGTACATGGTACGCAGAACTCCTTGTACAAAGGCTCTAGCACGCCCCATGGCTCCGAGTCCGCTAAGAAGCTTCTTCGTGATTCTGTGCACATGTGCTGCCCACCTGAGTGATGGGTCGAGAGTAATGCCCAGGTAAGTGAACGAATCAACTTGCTTATATACATTCACACCGTCTGTTATGTTGACGGATGTCCCAGCATGCCTCAATTTCTGAGGGAGCCCGAAGAGCATCGATTTGGTTTTGTCAGGATGTAGCAGCAACTTGTTTTCATTTAACCATTTTACAACTCTCTTCATGTCCATAGAGACAGTCTCTTCACAGGCCTACACGGAATCAGCCTAGTAGTACAGGACTGTGTCATCAGCATACATGTGGATGCTGCATTTTTCAATGACGTTGGGTAAGTCGTTAACGTACAGACAGAACAGTAGGGGCCCTAGAACACTTCCCTGAGGAACCCCACAGGAGACCCGAGTTTTTGTAGAGTGTTGACCCTGAAGGCACGTGCAGTGGAAGCGCTCAGACAGGTAAGAGGAAAACCATTTCATGGCGTCACTGTCAAAGCCAAGCTTATCAAGTTTGCCTAACAGAATGTCATGGTTAACCGAATCGAAAGCCTTCCGTAGGTCCAGAAATAGTGCGACTGTGACTTTACTGCAGTTGTAACCAGATCTAATGTCCTCTACAATCTTCTGTACAGCAGTCCCCGTGCTATGGTGCCTCCTGAACCCGCTTTGGTAAGTAGTGAGAAGTTCACATCTGGTCAGGTAACGTGTCACTTGATTACATACAAGCCTTTCCATTACCTTTGACGTAACACTTAGCACAGACACAGGGCGGTAGTTACCAACATCAGCACAGTTGCCAGACTTGTGTACAGGTGAGATCTGAGCCTCCTTCCAGTCGGATGGAACCTCTCCAGAGGCCAGTGATAAGTTAAATATATGAGTCAGAGGCTTTGCAATCACTGGGAATCACAGAGTCTTTGAGAAGTCTTTGAGAAGTTTAGCTGGAATTTTGTCCAACCCCGTTGCTTTCCTTGTTTTCAGCCTTAAAAGTTCATTCATCACTTCTGACTCTTCAACACCTTCAAAACTGAATTTTGTCGAGGGGTCAGGGATGTGGCGGAGAGGATCCTCCTGGGAATCTGGTATCTCATCCGTAAGTCGTGAAGCGCAGGATGAAAAGTAATCATTGAATTCCTGGGCCATCAAAAACAATAGCTCCATTTTTCAAGGAGGTAACAAAACGTGTTTCATTATATTAACCGTGTGTGTGCTTATATCATACAGACACTGTTCTGTATGATCCTGCCAATGACACATGTTCTTTATTACATACAAAAATATTTTGTCACAGTGAAACCAAGACACCGTCCCCCGTAATTCCCAGCTTGTGCAGAGTCAGGAGGGGCCACACGTACGTCAGACATTTCAGCCAAACTTTACCCTATTAATGTAGACCGGCTGTAACTTGAGGTCATATGGTTTGGATTGATTGATGATCTCTGGGTGGAGGTCTATAATTTTGAACTTGTTGTCAGATGAAGACACGCTTGCATAATGGAACTCGTTGAGCTTGGTACGGTAATCCTAACATACCGGGTTGTAATGATTAAAAATCTCAAGAAACCTGTCTTGCCCCACGCGCACCTGACTATAGACGCCTTGTCATCTTCACGCCCGAAAACACATATACAACTAGAGTGCCACGATCTCATACCTTCGCCGATTGATGTTAATCTTTATGACTGACAAAGATGATTCCTCCTGATTCTGCAAATAGGATCCTCATTTGCATGAATTATAGCATGGCTTTCTTTGTTAAGGTAAGACTGCCTTTTGATGGAGAGTATGATCAACTATCATTTCCTCATAAATTATGCAAATGAGGTCCTTATTTGAATAAGTTATGTTTAATGATGTTCACTCCACTTTCAAATACCCCAAGTATGACATTCCAGGCAGTTACCATTATGGAATTATAACATTTTCTCATTAATTATGCAAATTAAGTGTTAATTTACATAATCAATATCTGCATGTGTTTTTCTCGTTCTCAATTACATATGTCACAAGCTTGAATAGTCCTATAATGTAATGCAGCTGGTTTATAGCATTTCCTCATTAATTATGCACATTACACCCAGATTTGCATAATTGCCGCATAATTATGTCAAGCGTCACTTAAGCTACCTACACACCAAAAATCACGACGATCCGTCCACCGGTTCTTGAGTTATTATCTTTTGAATATTTTCAAATAAATACACCTGCAGCAAACCGCTAGGGGGGCCAAACCTACGGCACTTCTTCCCCAGCACAAGACCTACCTACTAGGGCTGCGTACCTAAACGTAACATCAGGTACAGGTACAGGTACCGGTACAAAGGTTTAGGTACAGGTCCGGACCTGTACCTGTACCTGAACAATTTGACAAATTAACACTTGTTCTTCACTTTTTCAATCATGACACAGAAACAATAATAATGACTGACCTCTGACCTGATTCGAGTTTGTTGACCAATCACAACCCTGGATCAGCCACACTCTCGCGATGTCTCGTGAGACTGAGGATCTCAAATCAATCGACGGTGTTTACGTCTTTTCCAGTGCTAATTTTTCGTCTTTGTGGTAGGATTTACCTATCTTTAGTCATATACATGGTGTAAACTAGCTATTTCGGTATATACTCGTTACTTCATGATCCGGTATTTTGGACCTGTACCGAAACGATTTTTACGGTATTGGACCGGTACAGCGTACCGGTCCGCAGCCCTACTACCTACCATCCAAATTTCGTAACCCTAGCACGTCCAGATCACGAGATATCAAAACAGGAAGTTCAGCTGCAGTACCATTAGAAGCTGCTAGGGGGCCCAAAATCTAAACATTTTAGGTCTCATCAAGACCTACCCACCTACCAAATATGAAGTCAATCCATTTAAGCCTTCTCAAGTTATCGTGTTTACAGACAGACAG